CCCCAAAACCCCAAAACCCCAAAACCCCGTATTTAATAAGATTTGTTGAGGAAATAGCAGAAATAATAGATTTTTATACTTTGAGAGTTGGGGAAATGGAGAAGATTGTTAATAAAGAGGCTGAAGAGAGTAAGAGAGAGTACTGGAACACTTTCTCTAGCTTCTATGAAGATACTGCAGAGTTGGTCACTCTTCAAAGCTCAATGATGCTTTATAGTATTACACAGAGCAGAAATAAATCTAGGATATGTGAAGTTGCGAATGGATGCGGTCTTGCAATTAGAATGTTTGTTGGCCAACTCATGAAGGAAGGAGCTTACATGTTCACCTCTGACATTTCAGATTTGATGAATGAGATTTTTGTGAAGAGATTTGGGGAAGCTGACTTTGCCAAGAATGAGAAAGTTAAACTAACTTCTTTAGAAGAAACAGAATCTGTGGATGTAAATAAATTAGTGAGCGATCTTGGAGATGGTGTTACCAAGAAAGTATTTAACATTAGAGCAAGCAACGAAAGTCTTCCTTACCCAGACGCTTGTTTCGATTTGTATATCTCAAGTCTTTCGATGATGATTGTGGACAACCATCACAATCAACTCTCAGAAGCTTATAGAGTTTTAGAAGAAGGAGGAACTGCTGGATTTACTGTATGGGGTAGAAAAGAAAACTCTTCCTTCTTTACATTCTTCCCTAAAGTATGTAAAGAAGCTGGAATTGAACTTGATACTCCAGCAAGGACTAACTTCCACCTGGGTGTAGACAAAGAGGCTCTTGTTGCTGATGTCAAGAAAGCAGGCTTTAAGTCAGCCAAGGCTTATTATACTCAAATTAATCCAAACTTTGGCTCTCCAGAAGATTACTTCAAATTCTACGTTGGAGCGCCAGGATTCGCACCAGCCTATGAAAAACTCAATGATGAAGAAAAGACCAAGCTTAAAGAAACATTCGACATAAAGTTTGAAGAAGAGTTCGGTCTTGAATCAGAAACTGGAACTGAATGGGAAATTCTTGTTGTGTTAGCAACGAAATAACTTTTGATATTGATACGCAACCAATCTTTCAATTTGGCAACACGAATAGGGGTTTTGGGGTTTTGGGGTTTTGGGGATTTGGGGTTTTGGGGTTTTGGGGTTTTGGGG